TTAAGAAAAATTGCAAACAAGAAAAAAGAAAATTCCAGCGAAACCAATCCACCCGTATTGCTTTCATCTTAAGGATGGAGGAGTTATATGCACGTATTTGATGACCATGTACAAGGTGTACGAAGATTATATTTCATTTATTTGAATTATCTCTTATCTTTAATGTTCATGATTATTACATTTTAGTTTAGTTTAATTCATTCTGTATCTTGCTTCTCGATTGTAAACCTTGTATAATTAATAAAGATTGTTTTTAAAAACCAATCTATCAAATTAATTATTTTAATTTGTCTTTTCCGTTTTTTAGGCAGTTGATAAGGTTTTCTTTTTGTGATGTTGCGCAGGTGATTTTGTATTTTTTAAGTATTTTTGCTATTTTATTGTTTATATTTCCCTGATATGAAAATTTTTTATAAGTATGTTCTTTGGTTTTATTAGTGAGGTTCAAGAGGTGTTTGTTTAAAAGTATTTTTTCTTGTTTTTTAATTATTTTCTCGATAGTAGATAAGGGAAAGTTATTTTCTGATGCAATTTGTTTGATGATGTTAAGTTCGTTTTCTTTGTTGTTTTGGTTCATTGGGATGTTTAAAGCTCGGTGTATGAAACTGTGGAATGCTGCAAGTTTGTGTTTGTATGGGTGGTGTGAGTCGTATGGTATAAGGGCGGATGTGTTAGTCGGTTTTCTATAAATTTTAAACTGAAATGTATTATCTGTTCTTGTAATTGTAAGGTCTAGAAAGTTAATGGAATTTTTATTTTCTATTTCTATAGTAAAATTTATGTTTTTGTGTAGGTTGTTAATATATTCATGAAATGTTTTTAATAGATCTATGTTGTTATCCCAGATTAATATTATATTATCTACATACCTTTTCCAAAATTTTATGTGTTTGATAATGTTATGTTTGCTGTTAAAGATCCATTGTTCTAGTTGATAGATGTTGGCTAGTAAGCAGGCATTTGGGGCGCCCATAGGTAGTCCATCTTCCATTTTATATATTTTATTGTCAAATTGGCAGTAATTTTGTTCTGTTGTTAGTTTAAATAGTTTAATTTTATGCTGTATCTCTTCAGGTTTATCATTTATATGTTGGTGAAGTATTTTTTCAACGATTTTAAATGTTTCTACAATGGGTATGTTTGTATATAGATTAGTAATATCGAATGAAACGAGGATATCGGTTTTTGTTAAGTTTGTTTTGAGAAGTTTATTTATTAGGTCTTTTGAATTTTCTATTGTATATTTTGGTTTGTAATTGGTGATGTTTAGAAATGTTTCTATTGTGAATTTATTTAGATTGTATGTAGGGGAGTTAATAAAGCTAACTATTGGACGAATAGGAGTATTTTGTTTGTGTAGTTTTGGTAGGCTGTATAATTTAGGTGTTTGTGGATTCATGGGAACCAGGGGTTTATATGATTTTCTGTATGAATTGATTGTAGTTATGCAAGTTTTAATTAGTTCTTTGGTTTTAATTGTAAAAGTATTGGTGGGGTTTTTCTTTATTAGTTTAAAATTGTTTTCTGTTAAAAATTCCTCAGTTTTTCTAATATAATCTTTTTTGTCCATGAGTACTATACCTGCATTTTTGTCAGCTTTTATTAAAGTGATATTATTATTTTTTATTCGTTTCTTGAGTTGTATTAAGGTGTTTTGTTCTTCGATATATGGTTGATTATGTTTGGTTTTTGTTTCTTTGTTTATTCTTCTTTTTTCGTTTTTTATTGTTTGTAAACATTCTGACCTTATTTCTTTTTCATTTTTATGTCCTCTAATTGCAGCATCTGTTTCTATAGCTAAAATATCTAAATTTGGTTTTGTTGTTGGAATTGCATATTTATGTCCTTTTCCCAGTAATGATATTTCTTTTTTAGTAAGTTCTAGTGATGATAGGTTAGTTATTTTTGGAAAAAATTGATGGAAAGTTTTAATTTTTTGATGTTTTTGCTGGTATTTGGTTATTTCTATTTGTTTATATATTCTGAGGTTGTTTGATTTATTTTCCTTTATTCTTCTATGTTCGCATCTTAAGTTTTGTACTATTTCGTGAATTTTATTTCTAAGTTCTTGAATTTCTATATAGTGGAGTTGTGAGGTTAATGTGCTGTATGAGATTTGTAGAATCTGGTTTGTATTGTGTAATTTACTGTATTGTTTATTTCTTGCGTTTCTTATGATTTTGTTTATTATTGATTTTGTTTTTTCTTGACTAATAAATTTATAACCCCAAATTTTGCAAAACTAAAAATTAAAAATAAATTTATTAGTCAAGAAAAAACAAAATCAATAATAAACAAAATCATAAGAAACGCAAGAAATAAACAATACAGTAAATTACACAATACAACCCAGATTCTACAAATCTCATACAGCACATTAACCTCACAACTCCACTATATAGAAATTCAAGAACTTAGAAATAAAATTCACGAAATAGTACAAAACTTAAGATGCGAACATAGAAGAATAAAGGAAAATAAATTAAACAACCTCAGAATATATAAACAAATAAAAATAACCAAATACCAGCAAAAACATCAAAAAATTAAAACTTCCCATCAATTTTTTCCCAAAATAACTAACCTATCATCACTAGAACTTACTAAAAAAGAAATATCATTACTGGAAAAAGGACATAAATATGCAATTCCAACAACAAAACCAAATTTAGATATTTTAGCTATAGAAACCGATGCTGCAATTAGAGGACATAAAAATGAAAAAGAAATCAGGTCAGAATGTTAACAAACAATAAAAAACGAAAAAAGAAGAATAAACAAAGAAACAAAAACCAAACATAATCAACCATATATCGAAGAACAAAACACCTTAATACAACTCAAGAATCACTTTAATAAAAGCTGACAAAAATGCAGGTATAGTACTCATGGACAAAAAAGATTATATTAGAAAAACTGAGGAATTTTTAACAGAAAACAATTTTAAACTAATAAAGAAAAACCCCACCAATACTTTTACAATTAAAACCAAAGAACTAATTAAAACTTGCATAACTACAATCAATTCATTCAGAAAATCATATAAACCCCTGGTTCCCATGAATCCACAAACACCTAAATTATACAGCCTACCAAAACTACACAAACAAAATACTCCTATTCGTCCAATAGTTAGCTTTATTAACTCCCCTACATACAATCTAAATAAATTCACAATAGAAACATTTCTAAGCATCACCAATTACAAACCAAAATATACAATAGAAAATTCAAAAGACCTAATAAATCAACTTCTCAAAACAAACTTAACAAAAACCGATATCCTCGTTTCATTCGATATTACCAATCTATATACAAACATACCCATTGTAGAAACATTAAAAATCGTTGAAAAAATACTTCACCAACATATAAATGATAAACCTGAAGAGATACAGCATATAATTAAACTATTTAAACTAACAACAGAACAAAATTACTGCCAATTTGACAATAAAATATATAAAATGGAAGATGGACTACCTATGGGCGCCCCAAATGCCTGCTTACTAGCCAACATCTTTATAGATCAACTAGAACAATGGATCTTTAACAGCAAACATAACATTATCAAACACATAAAATTTTGGAAAAGGTATGTAGATGATATAATATTAATCTGGGATAACAACATAGATCTATTAAAAACATTTCATGAATATATTAACAACCTACACAAAAACATAAATTTTACTATAGAAATAGAAAATAAAAATTCAATTAACTTTCTAGACCTTACAATTACAAGAACAGATAATACATTTCAGTTTAAAATTTATAGAAAACCGACTAACACATCCGCCCTTATACCATACGACTCACACCACCCGTACAAACACAAACTTGCAGCATTCCACAGTTTCATACACCGAGCTTTAAACATACCAATGAACCAAAACAACAAAGAAAACGAACTTAACATCATCAAACAAATTGCCTCAGAAAATAACTTTCCCTTATCTACTATCGAGAAAATAATTAAAAAACAAGAAAAAATACTTTTAAACAAACACCTCTTGAACCTCACTGATAAAACCAAAGAACATACTTTCAACAAATTTTCATATCAGGGAAATATAAACAATAAAATAGCAAAAATACTTAAAAAATACAAAATCACCTGCGCAACATCACAAAAAGAAAACCTTATCAACTGCCTAAAAAACGGAAAAGACAATACACATTATCTCGATAAAAACGGAGTATATTGCATAACATGCGAAGAATGCGATGCAAAATATATTGGGGAAACAGGAAGAAGTATAAAAACAAGAATTAAAGAACACATAAAAGATACCAAAACATCAAACTTTGGAAGACATCTACAATCAAGCGGACATAAATTTGAAGACTGGAAAAATATAAAAATATTACATCAAGAAAAAGGAATAAAACTAACACTTCTAGAAGCCTATGAAATAAACAAAAACAAAGACAAATGTAACCTACTAAACGAACAAGTAGAATTATATTTTGAACCTATTTTCAAACACCTGTAAGACCACAACCAACATCTCACACCTACCACAAAAAACATTTATTTATAAAATGTAAAAATTTGTTTAAAACTTCTATGTTCGTAATATATTATTATTTTAACTCATATTTTAAAACTTGACATTGTAAGTAGATACTAATTTTACATTTTTAACTATATTTATAATAATCGTAATTAACAAATATTTTAACCAAAATAACTTAACCTAACTAAATATTTATTTAATACTTACCTCATTATTTGTAGTTTGCCTGAAGATGGTGTATAACCGAAACTAGTCGCAAATAAAGAATTTCACACAAGCAAGGAAGTATACATTATTTTTAAAAATTAAACATTCCATAAACCTTGCTAAAAATGGATTACCAAAACCTAATGAAACTGTTAAAGATTCACCAGTAAATGATCCCAATATATCCCATCTATTAATGCTGCACCCAAAAAAATTATACAAATTATACAAATCTGCGAGAATAGTAAAAAACGACCTGATTTTAGTAACCTGTTGCACTGCGTCATTGATTACCAGGTTAAGGTTGTGTGCTGCACAATGAATGTAGGCAGCATTTGGCTCAATATCTTTAATTCGCCTTTGAACACCTGAGTAAATACCACTCATCACGCTGGCACCATCGTAACCTTGCCCTCTGCACTTTTTAAGGTCCAACTGTAAAGCGTCTAATGCGTTTAATATGTCAGATGTTAACACTGCTGCACTTTGGTCTAAAACTTGGGTGAAACCTATAAAACTTTCACGTATTTTAATACCGGTGGGTTGATTATTTTCATCTTTTTCAATTTCCACAAAGCGAATAACTTTACTCAATTGATCGACTTTTGTTATGTCCTGGGTGGTATCCATAATGATGAAGAAAAATGGTCTCTGAGTTATTTTTAATTTTTTTTGTTGTTTCAATTATTTTGCTAGACATTCAATTAACTCGTTTTGAATCGTCGGACTTAAATAATTAACACTTCGCTTTGGCATACTGATCACTTCTTTCATTATTGGATCATATTTTGCAAGAAGATTTACTTGCATCAAAAAGTTTACGCTATACAAATCACCCACTTTTTCTCTATGTCCCCTAAAAGCTAACGAGTTTTGTGTCAATGCTAAAGTTATATCAAATAGGCGGCTAAGTACTTTCTGCCAAAAATTACTTTCGCTTCGGATTGTTTCGTTCAGTGAATTATCAATGCCCTGATTACGTTTCCATTGATCATAAATATAGCATGTAGTTATATGATTCGGAGCTTTTTCATGAATGGTAATTTTTTTTGAAAGACCTCTCCAATCATCAATGCCATCTTTCCAGGTATTGTTTGTACTTGAAAATAGCCAGCATGGTAAGCTTTATTTTCTTTTACCGAGTAACACAACCTAATTCTGCATGAAATTTGCCCAACGTAGTTTTTATTATAGTAATAAAAGTCAAAAAAACTTCTTTTTTCAAAATTTTTTGAAAAATTAATTTTAGGTTGACAGGAACCTTGAGAAATAATAAACATTTTAGGTTTATCAGTCATTGCAGTATTTAAAAAATGCCCCATATCTGAAGGAAATACTTCATTTGTTAACGAATTAATGAGAATATCATCACTTTCCACCTGCTTTGACTTAGAACTTGAAGCTTGTTCAATAGCTTTGCTTGAAGAACCTATATTTCCAGTGACTGTATTACCGCTTTCCTGCATGTGTCTTAATGGTTCAGAATATGTATTATCTGTTACATTTGTTCTTTGATTATTTTGATTGGAATCATTACTTACAGTGGGAGAAGGAGTTAAAAATGTTGTAATTTTAGTTAGCTAAAGGAGTATCTAATTAGAATGTGTATTTGTGAATATTTTTTGAAACAAAGTTATTAAATAAGGCGATATACTCTACAATATATTATTTTAAATTATGGTCAAAAAACATTTTATTATAAACTATACATAGCAACATTGATATACCCATGGATGTTCACTATAGTTTAATATATACCCACTATAATTATATCAAAACGTAACTAGTATCTTATTTTAAAATTTAACTAAAATCGTATCAACTAATAGGTATATTTAGTTAATAATTTTTACTCAGTAACTCTATATATTAAACTCTCTATAATATTAAACTAACCAATAATAAAAGAAATACTTACATGTAAATACTAGACCACTTTGTGCTCACCACAGCTGACCGACGAGAAACGCATGTAAAACAGTGGAAAAATAAAATAATCAGAAGCAGTCACAAATAAGAACCTATTTGAACCAATACGAATATAAAACAAAAACAAACTAACAACTTGTGCATCACAATCGTCAAAATTTTAGGGGTTCGCAAAGGGAACGCTTCAGAACTGTCAGAATAATACGCATAACTAAATGCGCATATCTGTTTAGAGTTAGGCGCATGTTTCCAAGTTCTGAATCGTTCCTGCGTAAACCCGCTGTCAATTGTTAAATAAGCGCGATTTTTAAAATTCATCAAAAGGTTCCGTTAGATGTTTTACATTTATGTTGTGATTGTAGGCGAATAATATCAAGTACCTACCTACATTTTAGTAAATTATGATATTTTTAATTAATCATTCATTATTATTCAATTTTTAGTATAAATAAGATGGAAATAAGTATTTTAATGTTTTGGGGCAAGTATCGGCCGGGCCCCCTACGAGGTTAGGGCCCCCCGCTTGGCGGGCGTTCGCGGTAAGTACTGTCGCTACGCCACTGTATCCTCACCTGGCGTAGCAACTACTGTAAGAATCATTACGTTATTATTTTTATTTTTCGCGATTTTAACAAATCACTCGATTTATCGTAATTTTAAGAAGATTTCTTTTATTTCCCAAGAAGAAGATCAAGCAGAATGCCTCAAAATAACCCAAATAACGCAGGCAATGCTGCTGCTGCTGGTACGGTCGAACCTTATAAATTAAGCCAAATATTTTCAGTTGTACCGGAGTACGATGGTAACAAATTACTTCTCAACACGTTTATTCAAGCATGTAGCACTGCTTTTAACATGGCTATAGGCAACCAAAAAGTTTTAGTTACTTTACACATAAAAAACAAGTTAAAAGGTCGTGCTGCTGAACTTATAAATTCCCGCGAACCTAAAACCTGGCTTGAAATTGAAACATTACTTAAAAATCATTTTGGTGACACACGCGATCTCAAGATTCAAGATCTGCAAAGATTAAAACAATCCTCTAACGAATCTTCACTAACCTTTGTTGCTCGTTTACAAACGTACGAAGCAAAGTTATACGCTTCTATTAACAAACAAACCCTTACACCTAAAGAAAAAGCCGCTCAGACAAAACGTCTCGAATTTGAATACTTTACTTGCCGGACTTGACCCGAAAATTGGTCAAATTGTTAGAGCTAGTATCCCTCTAGAAATTTAAACTGCTACTGCCACTTAGACGCGAACTCCGAAATTATTTTAAAAATCAAAAATTTAACCTAAACCGCAACACAAATATACCACCTCGTAAACAAAATTCGAATCAGACAATAAAAAACTGTTCAATTTGTAAACGAACCGGATGAATAACGAATGTAGACAAAGAATGACAACCCCTCAAACCTTTTCAAATTTCCAACATAACAATCAAAACCAATTTCGTCCTCAACAACCATTTCAAAATCCTCAACAAAGACCATTTTACCAACATCAAAAATCTTCACAGAATCCGAACTTTCAAAATCGCCCACCTATCATTAGGCCAAATCCCAATATATGATCTACCAGGCTAAGTGCCATTCAACCCAATCCAAATTTTAATAAATACCCTGCAAAAATCTATCATCTGAATTATAACAATTCAGACCCCTACGAACAGTATTACGACGCTGACGAACAAAATTACTTTTACACACCCAATGATGAGCAATATTACCAAGATCTACCTCAATTAGATTTCCCGACAGAAATGGAACTAAACCAGGATTTTTTCCCTTGGAACCCAGTTTCCAGACAGACCCTCCGAATCAAGATATTGTGGAAATAACATCCCAAATTCAAACACTAAACATGGACAATTTCGATCCCAACCTCAACTTCCCGGAACAAAGCTTCCTGTAAGTCCCTTACTTTCAGTAAATTCAAAAAACCTCTATTACATAAATGACGCTTATCAATCTTTAAACCCAAAATTTGTCAAAACTTTCCCCATAGATCCCAAGAAAATGTGGTTATTCAAGGAATTACTAACCAAAAAATCCACATTAACGAATCTACTCTGGTTTCATTTAATGTAAAAGACCCTTACAAAGTATACATTTTCAACATTGAGATTAACGGTTTACTTGGATCCGCCTTTTTAGAAAATTATCAGTGCATAGTGGACCTAAAAGACAGACAATTAATAACAAATTTTAAAACTATACCTTTGATTAAAGTAGAGGAAGATACACCCATTGAAAACGTATCCTTAAATTGAAATTTTACAAATTTAATCACAGCCGCGTACGGAACAAATTTGCAAACTTAAATGTGATTTATCTAATACCGAAGCTATATTAGAAGCTACGGAAATTGATAAAGTACGTCTACCTAATGATTTAGTCAAAATTATCTCTAATGGTGAATTTTTAACATTAGTATTAAACGCTAACGCGATGCCAAAAACTATAAACTTTTCTGACTTGAAACTCGAACCTATTCAACATTTTTTAATCAATAATTTAAACGAATGTAATCTAAACTTACAACCGGATAGAGTTTCAGAAAGTAAAAAACAACTTCGTTTAGAACACTTAAACGAAGAAGAATCGGGACTTATTACTGAACTTTGTTTAGACTACTCAGACATTTTCTAACTAGAAGGCGACAAATTGACCTTTACTAATGAAATCAAACACACTATCGATACAAAATCAGAAAAACCCACCTTCGTAAAGTCTTACCGTTATCCTCAAATCCACAAAGACGAAGTTAAAACCCAAATATCAAAAATGTTAGACCAAGGAATCATTCGACATTCCAAGTCTCCCTTTTTATCCCCTGTCTGGGTCGTTCATGAAAAAATGGACGCCTCTTGCAAACAAAAATGGAGAGTAGTTGTTGACTTCAGAAAACTCAACGAGTTAACTGTGGATGACAAATACCCTTTACCGAACATATCCCACCTCCTTGATCAACTGGGTAAATGGATAACATTTTACTGGGAATACAAAATGAACGATGCACTATCCACGAGCACCTAAGTCGTCTAACAAAAGTATTTAAACGCTTAAGGCAAGCTAATATGAAACCGGATAAATGCGAATTTCCACGACAAGAAGTCGCTTATCTTGGTCATTTAGTCACCAAGGACGGTGTAAAACCTAACCCAACTAAAGTAGATTGTATTGTAAATTTTCCCGGACATTCTAATCAAAAAGAAATTAAGACCTTTATCGGTCTAGCAGGATATTATAGAAGATTTATTTATAACTTCGCCAAAATTTCAAAACCTCTGAGAAACCTTCTGAAAAAAGACATTACATTTAAAAATCATTTGAAGAACTAAAAAATTCTTTAATTTCAACCTCAGTTTTAATTTACCCAAACTTTGACGAACCATTTCTCCTTACTACTGATGCGAGTGCCTTAGCTATTGGAGCAGGCCCCATAGGTAGAGATTTGCCAATTGCCTATGCCTCGAGAATACTTTGCAGTGCCGAAACTAAGTACTCCACAATAGAGAGAGAACTTCTCGCCATTTAAGTTAATAACCGATCAAAGACCTCTTGGCTCTTTTCTATAAAAGACCCAGGAAGTCGTCTCTCTCGTTAAACTAGAAGAGTATGATATATAACTAGAAAAATATGATATATAACTGGATAAAAAACAAACACTGTTTTTGAGTTTCACGAATTTAT